TATATATATTAAATGTATGTCAAAAGATCGTCACTCCATGTGGACTCAGTCGATAACAGCGCATGATCTCATTCACACTATTTTACATATACTTTTAAGTGTAAAAACAATACCGATTTTCGTCCAACACATTATTTACATTAAGTTTCCTTGTCTGTTAGCTTAAAATATACAATATTTTTCCATCAGATATATGTTCAAAGCTACACGAGAAATGATATTGTTTAAAACATTTGGTATTTTTTCACACAATAACATTAGATCGTAGAATTAGTTTTTTTGTTCAATAACAATACGGCAGCTTTGTATGCATCATATATATATATATATATCCTTCAACAGATCTACGTCAGATGAGTGTTTCAGTTTCTTCCGTAAGCCTCAAGAAAATCTCTCGCGTTGTACCTAGGCTGTTTACGAAATTCTAATTGCTTTTTAATAACCGTGCTTACACTTCCAGCTAACTGTATAAAAAGCATTAGTCGACACCTGTTAGAAGCCAAAGTTTTATTCTACATTCAATTTTCTCCTTGGCCTTTTAAAATATATTTCTTTTATTTTTTATTCATCTTCGATGTTATACGGAGCAGTTAAGATGGAAAGAAACGTCCAAGCCATTTTGGATTAGTTGGTAATATTTTATCAATTTATAAGTACAAAACTTGGACGGTTTTTTTAATACTGCTAACTGCACAACTTTTTCTAACAATTGCCAAAAAATATTGTTTCATGAAAATTCTAACAATATCTTGTTTCGCTCCGAAATACTCGCGCAAGGTTTGACTAATAACGTTTTCGAACGACAGCTGCTTCCTCACTGCGCTCTGAGAGTACGTACTTTTCTCTATTTTTATTACGGTTGTTTATACTAGAAAGAAAGAAAAATACTTACTCTTGGAGTGCTCTGAGAGTTGGTCGCTCGAAAATAAGTATACCCGTTCTGTGGTAAAAGTCGCGCAATTTTGACCGAACTTCATACCAACAACAAAAATTTGGCGTGAAAATCGTGTAAAACTTGCTGAATCACCGACGTTTACCGGGATATAATAATAAAAACAATTATTATGAAAAAAAAAAAAAAAAAAAAAATTACGTATAAACATGTCAAATAAATATAATAAAGGCAAATTAGGTTTTTTTTGTCAAGTAATTATATAATCCGATGTTTTTTAACGATAATTTTTTCGAATGAATTTGAGCGACTCCTAATCCGTTCGATTTTATCTTAGCGAAAAGATGCGAAATGTGTGTTGCAAAATCGGATTCGAAACGCAGCATTGCATTGAAAAATGTTTATAAAAAAGAATTAGAAGAGAAGGCAACTAAATACCAGTTTTTCGACCTGAATCTGCTCAATATGTTTCCAACCGTATATGGATAACACTATAAGTACTATATATATA